CTGGATCATATGGTAGTTCCATTTGTAGCTTTCTGAGTGATGTGGTTTGGCTGTGTCCACATACAAATCTCATCTTGAATTGTAGCTTCCATAATTCCCATGTGTTGTGGGAGGGACTGGGTGGGAGATCATTGAATCATGGGGTGGTTTCCCCCCATACTGTTCTCATGATAGTGAATAAGTCTCAAGAGATCCGATGGTTTTATAAGAGGAAACCCCTTTCACTTGACTCTCATTCTCTCTTGTCTGCAGCCATGTAAGACATGCCTTCTGCCTTCTACCATGATTGTGAAGCCTCCCCAGTTATGTGGAACTGTGGGTCCATTAAACCTCTATTTCTTTATAAATTACCTATATCAGGTACCTCTTTATCAGCAACGTGAAAATGGACTAATACACTGAGGAACCTCCATACTCTTCTCCATAGTGGTGTGTTACAAACACATAACCCTGAATTCAAAAGAAAGCCAAATCTATAGAGCAGTTACCGTGACGGTGTGGAGGCTGTAGTTAAGGCAAGGGTGAGGTCTGCAGCCCCACCCATTTTGCCCCATCCCACCTTCTTTCTGCTGTCCTTAAGGCACCCGTATAGCCTCTTAGTATAAATTTTCACGTTTTGTAAATCATTCTGCCAAAAAGACACAGGCACTCATATGTTCATTGCAGCACTATTCAGAGTAGCAAAGACATGGAATCAACCTAAGCGCCCATCAGTGGTGGATTGGGTAAAAAATTTAAAAACATGGTATATATACACCAAGAAATACTACACAGCCATAAAGAAGAATAAAATCATGTTCTTTGCAGCAACATGGATGCAGCTGGAGGCCATTATCCCAAGTGAACTGATGCAGGAACAAAAAATCGAACACTGCATATTCTCACTTATAAGTGTGAGCTAAACATTGGGTACACAAGGGAGCAATAGACACTGGGGACTACTAGAAAGGGGAGAGAGGGAGGGGAGCAAGGGTTTAAAACTACCCACTGGGTGTTATGCTCACTACCTGGGTGATGGGATCATTTGCACTTCAGACCTCAGTGTCACGCATCATACCACGTAACAAACTTGCAAATGTATCCCCTGAATCTAAGATAAAAGTTGAAATTACTTTTTTAAAAATTTGATAGTTTGAGAGAAATTTTCTTTCAGTTCTGGAAAATGCTGGCAAGTATGCTGTGGACAAATAGGGAGCCTCTGTGGTCAGGGCCTTTTAAGAAGTACATGATTATTTCAAGAAATACTTACTAAGTGTGTAGGACATCCCAGAAATTGTGTCAGTTGCTGGGATACAGCGAAGAACAAGACAAGCACAGTTCCTGCTCTTGAGGACCTTATAATCAAGGGATTAAAGGAAATTCTACCAGGGTAAAGAACATAAATGGGATCCCGCGCTCACGGACTGTGCTGTGCATGAGCTAACGTATTCTGGAAATATGTGGGTATATGTTTTGCCTAAAGTTAGTGAGCATGCCACAGGTCTAGTGTTCCACAAAGCAGGCTTTTTGGGAAATGCTTGTCAGGGCCAATTGCTGTCAGCATCATCAGGGAGTGAACTCTATACCATTACCAATTTTCAAAGCATTACAACATTAAAAAATGTAAATAATCCTGAATGACTTAATCGGTTTGATCTCTGATGATTCATAAGGCATTTTGAGACTGCTGTGTCTTGGATCATCCTCTAAACATGGGTTATCTTTGTAGTTTTAGCATGTGGATGTATCCATTAAAGGACTCAATATCTAGCTGGTCAGCTTCAAGAGGGTTCCTGTTTTGTGTTTATATCAGTTTGTGGTCGTGTCCCTTGTACTCACTTTTCTAGTCATTCATAAGAGACTATATTAGAGCAGAAATGCCTGTAGAGAGATTTTAACCTTGAAAATATGCTTCCTCCCCAAAATTAGGCAGAGAATTCCAATCAAAGGAGAGAGCTCCTGTCATTCATCCTATCCCTGGAATGGAATTAATTGCTTCTTGCTATGTGTTTCCAGAATGTTGTACATGCAACTATAGATAGCGTTTATCACAGTGATTATTACTCATGACAACCAGGCAGTGCACGGTATTTTGTGCCAGGTGCTTTGCAAAGTATTTTCCATATATTATTGCTTTTACTTCTAACATTCATAGGCATTAGGTCCTAGCACTATTCCTGTTTTAAGGATGAGAAGACTGAAGCTCAGAAAGATAAATAATTGCCCAAGACAACATGATGAATAAGTTGAAGTCCATATGAGTAAGTGGGATTCCAGAATTTAAACCTGAGCCCAAATAATTCCCATGTCTACACTCTCTCCTCCATATTTCCCAATTAATAACTTAAGAATCCACCATGACCAGTTTGGATCTTCAACTTCTTGAGTGACATATTTGAGTTTCATTCAGCCTAATGCAGTTCATGGTGTCCAATGAGTGCTCAGGAAAGGCTAGTTGAATGAACTGTGAGAGACAATATGGTACAAAGAAGAGAGCTTTGGGTTAAATAGTAAGAAAACTGTATCTTTCTTCAGAATATGTAAGTAATCTACCATGTGACCCTGAGCAAGCCCCTTCTTCCTCTCTGAACCTTGGTCTTCCCATCTGTAAAGTGGGAGGATTGGGAAAGACGATTGCTAATATGATCCTTCCCTCTGAGTCCAAATGACCTATAGTGGGAACTGGTGCTACATAATTCAAAAAACATCAGGGTTCCCAAGAAGATAGACATAGTGTTGTTTGTTTCTGACATCTTCAATCCTTAGCAAAGTGCCAGGCATACAGTCATGTTCAATTAGTATTCACTGAATAAATGCGTGGATACAGAGCCTCATCCAAAGCTCTGTTGAGCATAAACACATCCCAGATCCCACATCCCAGAAAGAAGCAAAAAGTCACTTCCTTGTAAGGGAAGATGGATCCACTAGTGAACCACGGCACTGGCTCAGCCTTTCAAGAATAAAATGGTTAGAGTCCAGCCACAGGGAAAGACGGAAGCTGGGGATGGAAGGGCCCCCCAGCGTCCCCTCACCACCCCACCCCACTCGTGAACTTAAATTCCTGGGTCAGATCTTTCATCACCAGTATGTAGCCTCTGGGAAACATAAAGGAGAATGGTCCAAATATTGCTTTGTAAGCTTTGCCTTACATATCACCCTCCCTAAAACAGAGGAAGAAGAGACTCAGGAAGCCAAGAGACATGGCCTTCCAAAAATCCCTTGATGGGAAATAAATAAATAAATATATCAATCCAAGACGTCATTTTTTCTTTGTTAGGAAAACATGTTTTTCTTGTTTGCTGACCCTCTAGCATTTTGGAGCTTGGGGAGTTGACTGGGTGCCTAGTATCCATGAACGTTTGCAAGTTCATCACCCTGACCTTCTTGGCTGTTAAATCTTAACACTGGTTGCTGGAAAGTGCTTTGACTTTAAAAAAAAAAAAAAAAAAGAAAATCTTTGTTTGCTTTTTTTTCCCCAAACACCCTCATCATCGAGCTCATACTTTGGGACTATGTGTAAGGTTTTGTCAGGTAGACTATAGATTTCCACGCAGATAGCCAGAGTTTTCCTTTTCCCATGAACTCCCTGGAATTCACCTGAAAACTTACTGATTATTTATATTCTAGCGTACTTTCAGGAAAGCCATCCAGGACTTTATATCCTCAGGAAAACTGACAAATCTAATCAATTCTTGAGATACAGTTCTGTAAAGTCTTATTCATTTGAATGCCATCAGTTCAGAATTTTTGGATAATTCAGACAGTCTGGATAGAATTTCCTTTTGCACAGCTCTACAAAAATAGTTTCTTAACAAATTGATAATGCAAAGCAGACTGTCGGAGCAGAGAATAAATTGTCATCAAGTCCTTCAGAATAGCATTCACGGAGAAGCAGTCAATGGTTAGTTACAAATTATTTTTATCAAATAATTAAGGTGAATCCCAGGCAATTCACCCTATCGTAGGAAAAGCATGGTACAGGGGCAAAAATATGGCTTTCAATGTATCCAGGCATGGGCTCAAATTCCAGCTAGGCAACTCATGAGCTTAAATTACTGTGCAGAAGCCACTTGACTTCTCTGAGTCTTAATTCTGACATAAGGGAAAGTTTGCGGGACGGACAGGAGAATTGGGACTCACATAGGAAAAGACAAAGTTTCCTAAACTATGCTCAGAAGGATTTTAAGTATGTAAGATGTTAACACTTAGTGCATGAAAAAGGGCTCCATGGTTTAAGAAGTTTAGGACAAGCTAGGCTAAACAAAATTAAATGTGTTTGCTTGCTTGCTTTGTTTATGTGCAGACCTTCTCAGAGCCTTTAATATTATGCTTTATATTGTGAATCTCCAAAAGAAGGTTATCAGTTCTCCTCCTAGGGAACTATGATAAATATGGCAGTCATTATCGACAAACTGGGGGGTATCTATAAGGAACTGGGGATAGTGTTAAAGGGTGGATCCAAAAGTGTCAAGGTTAGTCCCTACACTAATAAAATTGAAAATGGAATTGGTAAGACAGGACTGGTCCTTGGCAAACCCAACAGGAAGGCAGAGGGCAGGAGAGTCCATTGATGTGTCTATATAGGTCAGTTTCCAGAGGCAGAGAGCAGGGTGGGGAAGGGTGGAGGGTGACCTAAGGGAAAAACAGAAAATATTTGGGATTGAGACACTGTTTTAGAAAGAGTCGTCAGGGATCATCCCTATGAGAAAGTGATGTTAGACGGGAGACTTGAATGACAGGCACCAATAAGCTTTGCAGAGATCTGGGGAAAGAACATTTCAGGTAGCACCACTTTGGGATCTTAGGAGAAATTCACGGGGCATGATGAAATAGAAGGAACGAAGGTCAGTTGTGAGGATGCTTGAATGAGGTGAAGAGTATCAGCAAATGAGGCCTAGATGAGCAGAAGTCCAGTAGGGCCTCGAGAATAAGAAATTCATTTTAATAAAAGAGAAATCTCTGATGCTTAGAGCTGCAGAGAATGAAACAGAAACCCCCGCCCCACTCCATCATTTGAATAAATGGAGGGGAGGATAGTATCGGCAAAACAAATGATACAAAAAATGACACAGAGGCAGTAATTCACCTTGCAGGTCGGGGCAACTGGAAGGGAACCCATCCATGGGTAATGTAAACCATTTCTTCCAAATCTCCTCCATTCTTTCTTTCCTTCCTTCCTAACAGCTTTATTGAGAAATAACGTATATATGATGAAATTTACCCACTGAAACTATACAACTAAATGGCTTTTAGTATATTTATGGAGTTGTGCAACCATCACCACCGTCTAATTTTAGAACTTTCCCATCACCTTGGAAAGAAACCTTGTGCCCATTACAGTTATTTCCCATTCCCACTCCAGTCCCAGGCAAACGCTTATCTACTCCATGTCTATACATTTGCCTTTTCTGGACATTTAAATAAATGAAATCATAAAATATATGATCTTTTACATCTGGCTTCTTCTACCTAACATCATGCTTTTGAGGTTCATCCATGTTGTAGCGTGTTTCAGTGCTTCATTCCTTTTTATTATCCACTAGTGTTTCGTTGCATGGCTTTACCACGTTTTGTTTATCTGATCACCAGTTGATGGACATTTGAGTTCTTTTCACTTACTGGCCATTGCAAACATTTATGTGCAAATTTTATGTGGATGAATGTTTTTTGTTTTTTTGGGTTTTTTTATTAATGCCTATGAGCGGAATTGCTGGGTCATGTGGTAAGTCTATGTTCAATGACTTGAGAAACTGCCACAAGTTTCTTAAATTGTTTTTCAAAGCAGCTGCACCATCAACTCTTTTTCTTAATTTGTGAAATGTGTGAGTCTTCATCTTTGTCTTCAGCTGATTGGAGCAAACGGGAGCACATGATCTAAATTGGACCAATCAGTTTTTCCTTCCTAAGATCTTCTTATGAGGACACATTGGTGGATGTATGTTTGTATCTACAGTAGTTTGAATAATAGACATGTGCAATAATAGACATAGAAAAGCTGACCACAAAGACAGGAAGTTGACCTATATAGAGAGAAACAGGTGACAAGCCAAATGAAACCAGCAGAGGTGGACAAAGTAGTCTCAGGTCCTGGGTTTCTGGGTTCCTGGTTCCAGGCCCTGATGAGGCCTATCATGCACCTTTGACCTTGTCATCTTCAACATATCCCAATGTCCTGTAATATGTTCCAACAACTAAAAATTCCTTAACTAACTCAACACATTTTGCCTATAGCAATGACTGGGTAGAATAATAAAATAGGCTTAACACTTAAACTATAACAACACAAGCATTTATAAGGTACATACCATGTGTTCAGCACTATATGAGTGCAATATGTCCTGAACTGCAAATAGCACATAGTAGGGTAATTAAAGTTCTAGCAAATTGTCACGGAAGAAATAGAGATGAGCAAAAAGTAGATGAACATTTTTTTTAATAGAGAGCTTTTTAAAAATGTTGTTCAAGTAGGTCCTTGTACAATTTAATGGAAAAAAAGTAATGTAATGAAAAGCTGTCAAGATTATGGAGTTAAAACTCCTTAGGTGCTGAAAGAGCTTGAAATAAAAGACATCCCTTAAGTACCAAGCATTATAATTATATGCTCCTTTAAAGAACCACAGTCAGTTCTCCTGGCGACTAATCCTGATCGTCTGTCAAGAACTGGAGACGGAGAAGTCACACGAATGTTGGGCAGGATTGTCTAATTCTGGGGCCATCTTGTGGCTTCCTCCTTCCCCCAGGAGCCTGTCTGTGTCATAACAAAGACTTCATCACAAATTGCTTCCTTGATTCTCCCAAACCTTGCCGGGGAAGAAAAGATAGAAAAGAAAAAGTAGTCTCAGTGAAGGAAATATGTGAAAGATCATGGGGAAGGAAATACAGCAGAAAAGTTTCTTTTTTCTTTTTCTTTCTTTCTTTTCTTTCTTTCTTTCTTTCTTTCTTTCTTTCTTTCTTTCTTTGTTCTTTTTTTCTTTCTTTTCCTTCTTTCTTTCTTTTTGAGACAGGGTCTCACTCTATTGCCCAGGTTGCAGTGCAGTAGCTCAATCTCAGCTCACTCCAACCTCCACCTCCTGGGTTCAAGCAATTCTCCTGCCTCAGCCTCCAGAGTAGCTGGGACTATAGGCACATGCCATCACACCTGGCTAATTTTTGTATTTTTAGTAGAGACAGAGTTTTGTCATGTTGGCTAGGCTGGTCGTGAACTCCTGGCCTTATGTGATCCACCTGCCTTGGTCTCCCAAAGTGCTAGGATTACAGGTGTGAGCCACCATGCCCAGCCAAAAGTGAGACTCTCTGGGATAAATTTCTTAATTAAAGGGTCTATATGTTTCCTGTTATTTGTTTGGTCTCTCAATAGAAGATAAGCCCCAGGAGGGTAGGAACTGTGTCTGGAGTGGTCACCATTGAATCAATATTCTTCTAGAGCAGTATTGGGTGTATAGTAGAAATTCTATTACTACTCGTTGAATAGATGAATGAAGCAAAGTATAGTATTTCTTGTTTCCTTATTTCTCAGTTGATGTCAACTTAAGATCTTGCCAGGAGGTACACAATGCAAGAAAAATATTACAGGTGATAAACTATGGAATCTCTGACAACATGTGAAAGACCCAGGGGAGCCTCTCACATGAGATGGGAGATTTCAGCAATTGCAGTGAAGCCTAGAAATGAAAAAATGTTTCATTTCACCTATGCATGGATATCCTTTGTTCATCCCATTGTCATTAAATGTGCTAGGCTCATGCTAAAACCAGAGATGATTCAGTGGTAGCTTTTTTTACAGCAGAAAGAACAGACTTGTGAAATGGTCTTTCTTCAGTGACTTACTACGCTGTAGTTCAGCACTGTACACTATAAATCTAAGGCAACCCACGTTCGGAATTTTAAATTTTCTACTAACCTGGGCAACGTGCAAGAACCCTGTCTCTGCCAAAAGAGTTACAAAAATTAGCTAGGCAGGCTGGTGCGCATCTGTAGTCCCAACTACTTGGGAGGTTGAGGTGGGAGAATCACTTGAGCATGGGAGGTGAAGGTTGCAGTGAGCCAAGATCGCATCACTGTACTCCATTCTGGGTGACAGAGCAAGATCCTGTCTCAACAATAATAAATAAATAAATAAATAAATAAATAAATAAATAAATAAATTTTCTAGTAGTCACATTTTAAAAAGTGAAAAGTAACAAAATTAGTTTAAATAATATATTTAAGTGATTGTATCCAAAATATTATCCTTTCGTCATGTAATCGACATAAAACTTATCAGTGAGACACATTACATTTTTTTTGCATCATAAGTTTTTTAAATCTGGTGTATATCTTATGCCAATAACACATCACACATGGATGCTCTATTTTGTTGAAAATTCTTGATTTATATTTAGAATTCACAAAATTTACAATCAAAAAGACTTTAAAAGCCTTCCAATCGCTGAATCATGTCAGTTTTTAAATCTGAATTTAAACTAATCAACTTTAAATAAAATACAAAATTCAGTTACTTAGTTGCACTAGCTACATGACAAGTACTCAGTAGCCACAGTGCCTAGTGGCTACCATATTGAATAGCATTGATAAAGGGCATTTCATCACTGCAGAAAGCTCCACTGGACAGTGTTGCTTTGGGTTATCTAAGAGGACTACAAGCATTGAGAACAGGCACATGTTTTGCCCTGTATTGTATTTCCTACCACAGTAATTAACACATGAAAAGTGTCAGCAAATCAGTGTTGAAAAAATAAATGAATGAATGGCTGTTGTCACATCACAGAGGTTGGAGGGCTTAAAGAAGACTTTATACAAGAAGAGACATTTATGATAGGTTTTCACATATGAGTAGGAGCCTGTTAGGCAAATATTAATAATAAGATAAAGACAGAGCAAGAGCCTGGTGGACAGAGAAAGAGCCTGGTGCTGAATTAATTGTTTAAGTCTAATATATTGTTAAAAGGGTATTTTGTCATTCATTTGTTTTGCAAAATCAAGATGAAATCAAACTTTTCCAAAAGTCAAGATGAAATCAAACCTCACTACTTTCTAGCTGTGCATTCTTGGGAATATCACTTAACCTCTCTTAGCCTCAGTTTTCTCACCTGTAAAATAAGAGTACTAGTTTCAAAGGGTTGTTTTGAGGACTAATAAAATAATAGATGCAGAGTGTTTACCACAAAGCCTGGTGCATAATAAATGATCAATCAATGTTCAATGTTGGCCATTATTGGGTCCAGTGTTTAGTGAGTTGTGGTAGAAAAGGTGCTAGATGCCACTCCAATATCTCTTCTCCCCTTTCTTAGTGTCAGAACCCTGGCTTTTAACAGTCCAGAGTTATGTCCTGGCTGAAAACCTAATTCTCTCAGTCCTTGTATAGCCAGGAGCAGCCATCAGACTGGGTTTTCATCCACGAAGTTCTACAGAGAAGTGTTGTGTGTTATTTCTCGGATGTTTCTGCAGAGGGAAGGAGGCTTCTGTGTTTCTCCTTCCTGCTGTTCGGAATGCAACTGACATGCTAAGACTGGCAGATCAGAACATTCTGCAGCACCTTGGTTCCCAATGAGTGAGAAACTTCACGTGAGGGCAGTGGTAGGCAGTCATTTCCAGTCTTCTTTCACTACAGAACCAGCTTGCCAAGGACCATCTCTTGGGACCATCATTCTGTGAAACAGAGTTTGAGAAATATATTTTGGGTGATCTGGAAGGAATGATGAGGTGGTTAGTGGCTGAGATTCAGCGAAATCCATCTATAAACAGTGGGTGAGGCTTCCGACCTTTCGGGATGTTGGAGGGACGGTGAGATTTCAGCAGGGCCAATGGTCACCTCGCAGCCCCATGGCTGGGCCCAGTCATCAGTCTGTGAGGTCAAGGGGACCGTAGGTGGTTTGGTGGCCAACAGCAGTGACTGCTTCACCATATGGCATGGGTTTGTAGTTTTTCTGCCATGCAGCTGCATGTTTATTGTGGTTCTCCTGCTGATTGTCAATTGACATTACACACTAAAGAATGTTCCCGTGCCTCTCAAATGTATCATGGCTTCTCATAAACTTTTGTTTGTTGTGGCTGAAATATGGGACGATGAGACCTTTTTCAGCCTGTATTTTTGGAGCAGCTGTTTGATGTTTGTAAGAGAACATTTTTTGTGTGCTTTAAACCACCGTAGATGGGAGTAAAGTCAAGAAGTGACTCCTTACTGCACTTTAGAGAAATTTTATCATGGCTTTGGACAATATTTTTCTTAAACTCTCTACCAAAACTTGGTACATCAAGCCAAGCAAGTTGAAATTATTCACAGAGAAGAAAGTATCTTTAATCCTTAACTAGGTTATGGTATCCTTATAAAAGAATTGAAGTAGGCGTTATTCCAGAGACTCACATGAATTTTCATTATCGCAGTCCAGCACAGAGCTTAAGCAATTCTATGCTACTAGAGTTATTTCTTTATCCTGCAGCATGGGCCAAAAATTGGGGTCCCTTGATTTGCTGACCCAGTATAGCATTCAGAAGAAATGAAATAGATCCATCGGGCTTCTGTGCTTGCCAGGCCAAGTGAGCACTGAGGTTATAAAACCTTATATGAATATGATATTATCAATAAATGAGAATTACTATTGTTAAGAGTTATTGTGATGATTTTCAAATAACCCTGCCAACTATGTTTCTAATGTTAAGAACAGATAAATTCCATTAGCAGCTTCCCATAAGCATGATGCTAAGTGCTTTACACAAATAATCTCAAACCTCCCAATAATCCTAGGAGGTAGGAATTATTAATGGCATTTCACGGAAGAGGAAAGTGAAGATCAGAAAAATTAAGTAATTGCCCAAGGACACACATCTGAGACTGGTGTCCAACCTAAGGCCACTAGACTCTCAGGACCATGAGCTTAACACATTATTCTGCAATTACTGCTTAAAAGCTACCATGCAACAAAGTAATGAGACTGTTCCTTCTTCTTCTTCTTCTTTTTTTTTTTTTTTTTGAAATGGAGTCTCACACTGTTGCCCAGGCTGGAGTGCAGTGGCGCAATCTCAGCTCACTGCAACATCCACCTCCCTGGTTCAAGCAATTTCCTTGCCTCAGTCTCCTGAGTAGCTGGGATTACAGGCGCATGCCACCATACCTGGCTAATTTTTTTGTATTTTCAGTAGAGGTGGGGTTTCACCATGTTGGCCAGACTGGTCTCAAACTCTTGACCTCAGGCAATGCGCCCGCCTCGGCCTCTCAAAGTGCTGGGATTACAGGCGTGAGCCACTGCCCCTGGCTGAGATTGCTACTTCTTCAGTGACCATAATGTTTACTATTACTCCATAGGAAAAGCATTTGGGAAGATATTTTTTCTGAATGCATTAAAGCAACGTATTGGACTTTCCTTTTCTCATCCTTGAAATGGAGTGCTGACTTCAACAGTATGTGGTGAGGATTAATGAAGTAGTGAATGAGAAGATGGTGGTAGGAGCCTAAGTCTCAGCTAGTGGGATTTGAAATGGTGGGGTTTTAAATTTTCTCATCTAAGCTAGTTCTTTCAAGCTAGTATATTTGGCTTGATTTAAAAAAGAAAAAAAAATAGATTTTCAAAATGGAACCCAAGGCTGTTCAACTCAACGCTTTCCATACCATTACAGCCTCTGCAAATGAGGTTGGTGGTTGCAGTTAGTCATGATTAATTCTGTTAGGCACGCACATATCTTAAAACCACAACTGCCAGATTTTGTGAGCTGAGATGTTCCCAGTTCCCACCCAGACATGCATATGTAGGGATTCCAAAGAGGGTCTCCAGGCATGGCTGAAACATCTCACATGGGGCTACTCTTGTAGTCAGGAATGAGGCTAAGTCAATCCATCCTGGGTCTTCAGGAAGCATCTTGGCTTTCCAAGTCTTGGGCACTACTAGCCAAGAATTGTTTATCTGTTTTGATTTTTGCACTCTTTCCAAGTCAAGGACATCTGTGAAGTGTTTTCTTGATTGCAAATATGGACCCTCTTTAGTTTGTTGTGTGTGTTTGTTTTTTGTTTTGTTTTGTTTTGCTCCATCTAGAAGAATCACCAAAGAGAATAAAGGTACTATTGAGGGAAGACGCTCACCTGACAAAAAATAAAATAAGGAATAAAACAGGAGTGTCGCTGCATCTATAATGTTGCTACCAAAGGCCATGTGTGCATTATTGGATGATAGGAGCTGGTGTAACATTGAGGGGAAAAAAGAAAATAGACTAAAGTCAGATTACATTGTGTTAAACTCCTGGCTCTGCTCTTTATAGCTGTGTGACTGTGAGTTAGTTACTTAACCTTTCTGAGCCTCAGTGGCCTTTTCTGCAAATTGAGAAGAAAGGTGGTAAATAATAATTGTAGGCTATATTTGTTGGATGTTTATTATGTGCCTTTAACTCACTTCATTCTCAGAACAAGTTTTTCAGCTCAGTAATGCTATGCCATTTTAAAGAAAACCAAAGTTCAGAGATGTAATACCAGGAAAGGAATTCTGTGCTCTCTGACTCTGGGGAACAAGTGCTTGCCTAATCACGGAGTTAACACATAAAGTTGCTCTGAGAATTCATTGAGAAGATTCACATAAAATGCAGCCTCCTAACCAAAAGTATAGGCAACAAAAGCAAAAATAGACAACTGAGGCTACATCAAACTAAGATGCTTCTGCACAGCGAAGGAAACAAGCCACAAAATGCAAAGGCAACCTAGAGAATGGGAGAAAATAATTGCAAGGCATATATATGATAAAGAGTTAAAAATCCAAAATATATAAGGAATTCCTATCCTGTGTAACAAAAATCAGATAACCTAATTAAAAAGTGGGCAAAGGACTGAAACAGACATTTCTCAAGAGAAGACATTCAAATGGCTAACAGGTTTGTGAAAAGCTGTTCAATATCACTCATCAGAATCAAAACCAGGATGAGATATCACCTCACACCTTTTACAATGGCTATGATAAAAAAGACAGAAGCTAACAAATGTTGGTGCGAATATGTATGCTGCTGAGGGAAATGTACATTGATACAGTCATTATGGGAACAGTATGAAAGTTTCTCAAAAAATTAAAAATCGAACTATTGTATGATCCAGTAACCCCACTTTCAGGTATTACTCAAAAGAAATGCAATCAATACTTCAAAGAGAAATCTGCATTCTCATGTTCACTGCAGCATTATTCACAATAGCTAAGACAGGGAAGCAACGTAAATGCCCATAGACAGAAGAATGGATAAAGCAAATGTGGTACAGATACACAACGAAATATTATTCAGCCTTGCAAAAGAAGAAAATCCTGCCATTTTCAATAACATGAGTGAACCTAGAGGACATTATGCTAAGTGACATAAGCCAGGCACAGTAGGACAAATACTACATCATCCTACTTATACAAAGACCCTAAAGCAATCAAATTTCTAGAAGCAGAAAGTAGAATGCTGGCTGCCTGAGCTGGAGGATGGAGGAATAGGTGGAAAATGGGGAGGTAATTATTAAAGAGTATACAGTTTTAGATATACAAGATGTGTAAGTCTTTAAGAACTACTATATAGCATAGTGTCTACAATTAGCAATATTGTAATATATATTTTTTAATTTGGTGAGAATAAAAACTTAGGTTAAGTGTTCTTATCACGATAATAATATAACAAAGAAGATGGGAGGAAATTTTAACAGGTGATGAACATGTTTATTGCATAGATGGTGGTGGTTTCACATACGTATCTCCAAACTCATCAAGCTATATGCATTAGATATCCACAGCTTTTTGTAGGTCAATTATACCTCAATAAAGTGGAGTTTTAAAATTCCCTTAAGCAAGCCCTAAAATTTGAAAAGGAACAGCAAAAAACCCTGCTACCTCCTGGGCATGACATACTCAATTAAAATAGATTTATGGATATATAAATAGAGCGATTGAAAAAAATACACACACACAAAGAAACTTCAACCTCTCAGAGCTAAGGGGAAAAAATGAAGGTGAGCAGAAAGGAATTTTCAGATAATGAGAGGTTACCACTACAATGAAACCATTGATATCCAACATTGAAGGGTCCGGTGGGGAAGAGATTTGACAGAATGTGATCAATGTGGGAAAAGATGAATAAAGCCTCTATTCTCCCTAAGACCCCAGCCACTGAGGCATCAGGATATGACATGGGAACATCAGCTTCCAGTAGGCCAACAGGTCAGGACTGTCAGGAAATACCTGTGGGTCCAACTAACAGGAATGTGGAGAATCTTCCATGTTAGAATCAGTGACAATGAAAAACTATAAAGCATTAATTAGACCCTTGGCACTGAGTCCTGGAATTGATCTCTTCTTATTCCAATTTTCAAAAGGTATTTCCACTTGCAACTGTGTAGGTACTACACCATTTATTGAGCCACTGCTATTTCAGAGTCCTGACAGGTGCCGTGGGAAACAGGAACATAGCTGTCACCACCATGGAACTTGTAATAAAAGTGGAGACAATTTAAAATCCATGTGGTAGAATTAAAAGTAAGATGGAAATAAAGGTAAATTGCAAAGTATATGAATGACAAAACATCACATCCACATAAACATGAAAAGTATTGAACCAAAGTTCTGATTATCTGAAACTGTCAATTCACTGGAATTCCTTTCTTCTATTTCACTTTTAGGAAAAATAAATGGATCAAAAAAATAAAT